AACCATAAAAACTTTTTGTTTTTGTGTCATTTTGTATCTTTATGTGAAAACTTTACTATATGTGAAAATAAGAAATATTTGAATATAAGAAGCATATAAAATAACTAATATTCTGTGGTTTCATTAATTTTCGTTGGCATCAATTTTCATGGATTTTTTTTTAAAACAAACGTTTTCAAGTATACGTAATTTCGTGGACAAACGCAATGTCGATACAAATGAATAACATATCTCTTATTTCATATGAACATTTAAATTCGTTGACCTTCTCAAAAATGAAATCCTTAAAAGTTGGTGCTCAACGAATATTAATGGAACCACAGTATCCTAAAAATTTAAGAAAAATAGAGAAAATTTGGATTAGCCAATATCCATTTTAGTTAAATTATTTATGTCAATTTGGTAATGTCATGTTATAGGCCCTAAATAGTAATATCTTTTTATGCAAAAAGAAAAACATTCAATCTCTTGAAATACAAGTAGGGATCCTATGATTGGCTACAGTAATTTTGTTTATTCTTCATGTCCAGGGAAAAGGTAATGACCTTGACCCGACCTTGCCTCTAATATTAGACGGTCAAATTTAATTTCACTGATACCATCACCTAGTGAAATTGTCTTCTTGATTCTGTGAAAATTTCATTAATCTTTAAGTACAAGAAATATGAGAAGAATCCTACGTTAATTTAGAGTAATACCCCTTTTTCTGTTAATAAAAAAACAAGACGACGAAACCCTAACAAAAATATTATAGTTAACTATAGTTTACTATTGTTAACAATAATTAATTAAAGTGATAAGTTTGGCACTGTGAAAACTTCGATTTACTATAGTGATAACGTACACTTTGATTTACTATTAGTGATAACTTTGATACATTGGTTACTATAGTGATAACTTTGACACTTTGATTGACTAGAGTGATAACTATGATATCTTAATTGATCTACCGTAGTGATCGCTATGAAAACTTTGATTTACTATGGTAAAAAGTATGGCACTATGGTGATCAATTTGAAAACTTTTTCATGTATTTACTATAAAGATCACTTTGAAAAACTTTGATTTACTATAGTGATAACTTTGACATTTGATGTGCTATAGTTTACTTAATCAAGTATTTTTTGTTGGGGAAAGGTCGACAGATCGATAAAAATAAAATAAATTAACTGACAGGCGATAATTGATGCTGCAAAACAAGAGAGATAGGATGATCAGGGATTAACAACACAAACATTGTGGTACAAAGCAACAAATATTTTTTCCCTTTCCCCATATGTTACTCCATGTATATCCGAATTCAAGCTTAACACAATAGTACTATAAGTGCTAAACTATAAGTTAAAATATCTCAATAACTATCACGTTGCCTCGCTTTATATTTAAGGAAAATTCGATGGACAAATAGCTTCTGAATCTCTGTCATTTTTTTTTTACTTTTGCTTTAAAAAAATCAGTGATATTTTTCCCGCCATCGAAAATATTAAAAATGCAATAAAACTATCGTTTTTCATGCCTTTTGACAAAGGTGTTAAACAAATGATTCCTAGCTTGTTATCAGCTTTTTTTAGGCCGACTTTTTGGGTTTTTTTTTATCACATTGTGATAAAATATTCCTAATATAATAAACACTAGCAAAAGCGAAGCTTGTCCATTTCCATTGTTGTCTATGATTTTACAAGAGAAGATACTAGATAAGCATCGCCTTAATTTTTACAACTACCAACATACTACAAGCATTATCATTATCACGGGCTTAAAGATGAATAAAGATCCCGATAGAATGATGACCGGTGTCATTTTTTTGACATCGTTAACATCAATTATGGTCATTATTCAACGTCAAAAAATGACGCTTTTGCCTGTAGAAAAAGTGACATCACCCTTAAAATCTGAACAAGGAACCCGTGGATCAAAATGCTCTCCTGAGGTTAAATGGGGATACTGCAATAATTTGTTGTTCCTATTTGATCTTTCATATTGTCTTAAATCTAATTCAATCAAATATTAGGAAATTCTTAAATACAGTTTTGACAATTGTATGATTGTTTAAATAACCTTTGGGATTTTTTTTGAGAGAGCGAGTTTTCTTTTTGTTGTTATAATTAACCGTTCCTTTTCCAAAACTATAACCCCATTTGAGACGCCATCATGCACTTGCCTGTAGAGGGCAGGAAATATTGACATCTATTTGGTACTTATGTCTTTTGAGCAATGAGAGATCTTTTATTACAGTTGGAGCACATTCTGCGACATTGAACCGATGTATATGGTGTCATCCAAAGGACCGGTGTCCACACTGGATTCGAACCCGCGTCTTGAGGATCATCTCCTTATCCCGCGGCTCTAGAGCAAACGCCCTAATCATCGCACCACGTGGGCAAATAAAGTGATAAAATTATAAATATAAAACATAATTGTTAAACTAAACAAAGGTGATCTGCAACTGAAATTTCAAAATTCACCATATTTCTACATGGATTATGAAATATATGGAGATAACGAACAGTATTCAAGCCCAGAAGTCTATTAAACAATGCAAGTGTTTGAACAGAGCAAACACGAAACTCTAAAACTTCAGAAGTGGAATTAGGCGCGCATTGGAGGAGTGGATACCCTGCCGGGTGGTCACACCGGCGTGTGCTCCTCCGGCGACAGTTCAGTGTGTAAATAATGGTTGAAATATTAGTATAAAAGCGCAAGACAGTACATGACTTAATGAAATATTGTATTTGCTGACAAGGCCATTGTATCGACCATAAAACGCACAAAATGATGATTTTAAACGAGACTGCTGCCTTCTTAATTCATTAGCATGTTTGCCAACAACTTACATTGTTTTAAAAATTGTTCATACGCAGAGTTTACTTCAGCCTATCAAATCAACTGAAAGATATTAACCCCGTATGCAGTGGATGAAAGTATATTGTTGCATCAGTAAGGGAAGTTGACGATTGATAAGTTAGAGTCAGAAAGTTTATCATAAAGCTTGATTATTAGATAACCGTCGACGTATTTTTCTAGTAAATTATGAAAAGAGATGTGTCAATTAGTTGTGTCAGTGAGTTGTTGGTTAGTCTGTGAGTTAGCTGAGTTTATTTTTGATCCTTCTACCGAAATGTAAATTTCGCCAAGCGATAGGTCAGGAGGTAAGGAGGCCAAATATGCATGTAAATCTCGTGATTCTGCTTTTGTGATTGACGCTAAAGAGGCCTAATATGCATGTTAATCCCGTGCGGCTGTCTTTGTGTTTGACGTCAGTGGGCGGGAACTATTGAAATTGATATCGTGTAATTAAGGTCTTCCGTCTTCACGGAAGACCTTCTAGTGATTCTACTGTTTCTTATTATTATTATTATTATTATTATTTTTTTCCCCAAAATTTTGTGCAGGCGATTTCTTGAAAACTATTCAGTGGTTTTCAGTGAAATTTTCAGGAATTATGCGTCATTATATGAAGTTGTGGCATGACAAGGAAAATTTGGAATACTCACCTTTGGTTCCAAGATATTGACAGTTTTCTGATTTTAAAATGGATTTTTGTTCCCCCTTTTTTTCAAAAATGGCTTAAGATATTAACTGGAGACTTGTTAGAGATGATAGATGATGACTTCTAGATTTGCGGAATCACCTTTTCGTGCGTCGTTATTACTTCCGGTTGCTATTGGAAGCGAAATTAAAAATATTTTCTAACTTTTTTGTTTTTCAATATTTTTCATTTATTTTTGGAATGTTAATAGAAACCTTTCTTTTAATGCTTACTATATAATCTGTTTGAATATTGATAAATCCAAACTCTAGATATTAACATTTAAAAATCTGAAGCGGGCCCAAAATGGCGGCTGTCTCTGTCAACTCCGACATTGCGCAAGTGAGGGTTTACAGGCATAATGCGTTTGTTTAAACAGAAGTAACCTAAGAATAAATGAAATGTAAAAGAATACTTGGATTGTCACGTCGTAGTTACGTTGCAATTCTGCAAACTAAGTTTTAATCCATATTCGTCTCAAACGTCTTCTGTGATTAGCTTTGGCTGGTTCTCAGAGAAGAAAAAGAAACGACTAAATGTGATAATGAAATACGATGCCTAATATATTTTGCTTTTTGCGGATAATCATATTTTAAATCATAGTTATAAGTAATAGTTTTTAAGAAACAATAGCCATGTATATAGTAAGTATTAAACGCAAAACCACTGTTTTCCCATGCACACTTGTGTCATATTAAACGCGATAAAAAAGACAAATATAAGAAAACTTTTTTTTAATATTCTTGTCTCAAAGATCTGATCAAGCTATTGAACATAAATGTTATCTAATTCCTTGACTTGCGTAGGGCGACACATGTTTTTCGGCGAAACATTTCAACCTTTTCATGAAAGTTTAAGTAATCGGGATTGTTCACTATGGGGATAAACAGGAAATTTTGAAAAAGTTAAAAATTATAGCAGTTTTGCTGATCTAGTGTTACTTACATGTATCTACGTGGAATGTGTTAAATATTCTCTCTTGACCTTGAAATTGTAGCTATAAGAACGTTCTTTTTTTAATTTCCATTGAAGCTATCACACCTATTTAATGGAACATTCCAAGGATAAGGCTCTAAGATTTACTCGTGGCGTTTGATGCAAAATTATGAATAGTGTCCCATCTTTCATTATTGTAGAACAGATGTACTGTTGCAGAAGTATATACCTGTGGTCCCAATAGCGTAATAGTAAGCTATTTGAATTTTCACGCTAGCGACTCGGGTTCAATCCCCTTTGTTTTCATTAAAAGTTTTATCAATTTTTTCAGCTCGATTTGTGGTGGGTTTTTTTCAGAATAGAAATTGACATGGGAGGCATCGTGTAATTCAAATCTATTATTCTGGAATTTTAAAATCTTAATTTACAATTTTATTTCACAATGAAATGGAAATATAAGGAATCAATATCTAGTAAGTAGGGTATGCCAGGGACATCAAAGATAGTTGCTCTATTAAAAACCAAACAGTAGCAATATTGTCAACCATTTATTTAGCTTATGTATCCTTGTAAACAATAAAGAAGAAAAACAATCAATCATAACTATCATCATCAACGATAAAAGAAAGTGTGCATTCATTCTTACATAAATATAACAACACTTGGTATAAAACCTTCGATATACAATCAAAATATTTGTACACTTAGTTGGTACTACATTTATTGTATAAAAATAATATAAAATACACAAAAATAAATTAAAAAGAAAATATAATTGCAAACAAAAATTAAACTAGCAAATTTATTCAAGAATTTATCATTAGTACCTATGTGTTTATAAAAAAAATATCACTTTTTAATTTTCAAAAACAGTAGTTTGATTCGAAAATCTTTAAATAAATATTAAGCAGTAACATTTAACAAAAATCAGCAGAAGATGAAAATATTTATACAGATTCATGTTCCATATTTTCTGGTTCTTCGACTCCATATTCTCTTTTAACAAAACCAGAAAAGCCATGACTACCAGATATACGATCAAATGACCTTTTGTTGAAACCTTGTAAACCTCTTGATCCGCCGATTGAATCAAAACTTTTCTTGTTGAATCCTTGTAATCCTCTGGATCCGCCGATGGAATCAGAACTTTTCTTGTTGAAACCTTGTAAACCTCTTGATCCGCCGATTGAATCAAAACTTTTCTTGTTGAATCCTTGTAATCCTCTGGATCCGCCGATGGAATCAAAACTTTTCTTGTTGAAACCTTGTAATCCTCTGGATCCGCCGATGGAATCGAAACTTTTCTTATTGAAGCCTTTTAAACCTCTGGATCCGCCGATTGAATCGAAACTTTTCTTGTTGAAACCTTGTAATCCCCTGGATCCGCCGATTGAATCGAAACTTTTCTTGTTGAAACCTTGTAAACCTCTGGATCCGCCAATTGAATCGAAACTTTTCTTGTTGAAACCTTGTAAACCTCTGGATCCGCCGATTGAATCAAAACTTTTCTTGTGGAAACCTTGTAATCCCCTGGATCCGCCGATTGAATCGAAACTTTTCTTGTTGAAACCTTGTAAACCTCTGGATCCGCCAATTGAATCGAAACTTTTCTTGTTGAAACCTTGTAAACCTCTGGAACCACCGATTGAATCGAAACTTTTCTTATTGAAACCTTGTAAACCTCTGGATCCGCCAATTGAATCGAAACTTTTCTTATTGAAACCATGTAAACCTCTGGATCCACCGATTGAATCGAAACTTTTCTTGTTGAAACCTTGTAAACCTCTGGATCCGCCAATAGAATCATAGTATCTTTTGTTAAATCCCATTAAACCTCTGGGTCCGCCAATCGAATCAAAACTTTTCTTTGTGTTTTCTTTCAGTCGTCGTATCCCACTGTGTGCATTCTTTTTATTAAATCCCGACATCCCTCTACTGCCACCAATAGAATCAAATCTCTTCTCTTCAAACTCTTCTTGATTGTTACTATGCTCTGCTTGCTTGACTTCATTTGCCTCATCACGATTTTTGTCTAGCTGCTCACTTTCTGAAGATGGTGGAGGAGGCTGGAAAATCAAGACCCCGTGTTCATTATAGTTTGAATCTTTTTCCGATCAATTTCAAGTAGCTTTTTCATATAAAATACAGACATTCAATATTTTTATGATATGCCGTGTTCAAGCTTTCTGTGACCCGTTTTTCAACCTTTGAATTATTTCAGAAAATAATGTTTTTGTGTTAAATTATGACATTCTGAACGCAATCTTTGATTTAAATTAAATAGAATAAAATAAATAAAATGAATCTACACTACAAGAGTTAATTCTTTTTTATACCACCCGCTTGAAAATCGGGAGGTTAAATAGTAATCAGTATGTCTGTCCGTCCGTCTAGCTGTACGTCTGTCCGTCCGTCTCTCTTACGCTTTGGGGTACCTATCTCTTATCCGCAACTCCTCCCATACCACTGAATGAAATTTGATGAAACTTTCACAGAATCTTTATTACATATTGCGATTGTTCACCTCCTATTTGACTTTTCGATTTGACTTATATTTTGGGTTTCCCTCGACAAAAATGGACATTCCATTATATTCATATGGGAGGCGGGGGTGGGTGGGTGGATGGATGGGTGCATAATTTAGTTAGCTCATTTCTTACAGTACCTCTAGTTTTATTAGTCTCCTTATTCAGTATCGTTTGTGATAGGAAAGATTGCTCAGTATTTCTCCTATATCTGTAAAATCACACATTTTCGTGGGGGCAAATTTTGGAGGTTTGAGAAAAAATCAATGAATGTAGGGATTTGGTTTCGTGATAGAAGAAGTGTTGAATATTAATGTTTATTAAATTTTACATTTTGTGGTGGTCAAGAATTCTTGGATCTTCTCATACCTCGAAAACAACGAAAATTAAACCCCAGGAAAATTAGTGATTTCACAGTATTTTTTTTATAAAATTAAAAACTCGGACTTTTGTCCACATCCTAAAACTATTCGGGATTTTTTAAAAAAAAAAAAAAAAGGATGATGTGTGATTCGGCCCCTAAGTAGATTGGCTGTTTTTGAGTATTTAAAAAAAATTTTATCATGAGTTACTGATAGATGACATTTAAAGAGCTTTTACAATCATTACGTGTGTTAAAAATATATATTTTTTTAAATTTATGAATATAAATATTCAAAAGGGTTGACACTCTGACGCAAAGAATTTAGAAATTATCCCTTGTCAAAACTTAAAGTTATAAAGCAACCATGGCCAAAAATACAAAAATCTGTTTGATTTAGTATAATCGTCTCAAATTTATCTCAATTTTTATGCAGTTTTATATTAAAACATCATTTAACATAATTTTTAAGATATCACTATAAAATTTTCATACACTTTAAACACTGATCTATTTACACAGTTTTCTCATTTAAACCATAAACACTAAACTTCAGTGACCAATTCCTAAAATCAGCGAAATTTTCAATACATTAACCAATGTAAAATGTTTCTAGATGTTGAAACATCGTTACACACTTTTTGATTTTGTCACGTACCTGAGAGAATGCGTAATTTAACAGAAGAACTAGCACTAGAAAGATTACGTCGAACGTTGACACTTTGAAGTTCATCTTCAGCTCTATATCCTGAAAATAAAGTTACAACGTCTGGTAATCTAATTCTATATATACAACCTCTTTCATTTATACAACAGAGTCTTAATTAAAAATTAATCCTTTCTATGAGCACCCTGAGACATGTGATAATTGTCTGTTCTTTCCCCCGGGAAAAGGTTTATAAGGCGTCTAGGACGAAGAACTATTATAAATTTATAAGTCTTGTTATGTTACAGTTAAAAGGAAATGGTTTTTTTTTTTTTTTTTTTAGCTTAAATATCTATTAAATTTGAGATCAAACTTTTTTGCATCTGTTTTTTCAATTCCTTACAAAAATAAATATATTTTCATACTTTCCTGTTAAAAAAGTCTCCTCTAAACAAACACTGGATATATTTCAGTGTATCTTTTCCTTTTCATAAACACGTTATGTTTCTCTTGGGTGCAAGAATCTTTGAAAACTTTGAAGCACAATAGTTTTTGCATTGACTTAAATATTTGATTTCAAAGTCCTGTATTTTAGTCCTTTTTGCGTAATGATAAGGCATGATTGTTTTTGAATAAAACACATTAAAAATTATTTGAGCTTATATTTTTAAGCTGAATTGAATGTAAAATTTAAAGGATCTTTAAAATACTTCTTTGAACGGGAAAATTTTAATATAAAAACATTTTATACATGTAACATAGACAGTCAGAAATGCCAAAGAACTGATTCATTTATTCCAAATTGCCGATTTTCAACTTTCTTGTCTAAATTTCATCCCTTCTCACAAAGAGAGGTTTGTAATGCTACATTTTAAGCAAATGAACAAACAAATAATAAGAAAATGACCATGATATTTATAATTTGGGCCTTATGCTTTAAATTGCAAAGTGTTTCTCTTATATGCATTTGCAATGGTGACAGCCAGTTGTAAAAATGTTTAATGATGAAATAAAATCGTCGCAGTGGGAGTTTTTGAGCTCCAAACATCACCAAGAGGAAGTTCAGATCTATGACCAATTAAAATTGTTTTTCCGATGCTACAAAAACAACGTTTGATTCCCAAATGACCAGATACAGGACGCGATGCCGTCGACAACGGGAATAAGTGTAGCTTGCTAAGTGACACCCAATCGTCAAGTATTACATCTGAATTTGACAAGAAAATAGAATATAGGCCATTGTGAGTTTCAGAAATCAATTTTTAATTTAATAAAACCCTGCAAATGTAAAAAGAAATCTATATTTTGAAAAAATATGATTTTTTTTCTCTATGGTTAATGAATTATTCATTGTGATTTCTTTATTCACGAAAACCTCCATTGACGTTAATTATAAAACAGTACAAATGCCAAATGAATGCAAACATTTTTTATGGTTTACGCGCTCTTGAGTTTAAATTGAATTGTGTACATATTCAACTGTTCATACTTTTCGTTGCTTTACAAAATATGTACACAAATAATAGAAGATTGGCTTTCATATTGTAAACAACCTTAGATAAAAGAGAATTATACCTTAAAATCCATCGGTTATAATTTTGCAAAACGAAAAAACAGTCTTTAGGTTCTTATGTTAGAACAGGGAACTCTATCATGAGAAAAACCGATTATAAATTATATGTCTGCACTGTAAAAATATAACTAGTTAATGTCACGAAGAAAACTAGTAGATTCATTGTCCATACAATCACTACCTTAATAGTAGTTTTACCAGATATTGGTATATTTACTAGATAAGATTAGTAAATTTAGAATTGATGAGTAACTTTAACTAGGTATCTAAGTATTAATACGACCCCCGCTCCACAATTCACTATCTTAACCAGTAAACTGAAAGTTTACTAATCACGACCAACGCTTTACGAAACACACTAGTAAAATTCACTAGGTTTTTCTTTCAGTGATGGCACTATCGGAAATTGCCCTAGACCCTTTCTGTGAATATTCTCACGCCAGAATTTGATTCCACAAGACCAATTATTTTTGTAATGTGATAACATTAACAATTGTTGAGGCGAATTTTCAAAAAAAAAAATCTTATACTTGTATGTATCTCAGGTAATGAGATAAAGTCGGAATATTTATGTGAAGAATTGGTTTAAAAGTGCAATACATTTTTTTCAAATCTGGAAGGCATTAAACGATCATTAGGGCCATACATCCAAACTAATGGACATGTAAATGCAACAATGATGTATCAGTTTCTTTACATAAATCATCTGTATTCAATAACCTCTCGATGTTTTTTTATGCTTAATCAAAGATGTCTCTAATGGAGCGCATAATAAATCTTCAATTCAATGAAAAGACTCTCTTTGAATTTACAAAGATCATCTCTGCCATTGAGGATCTTGGAATGATTTTTTCTGGGGATTTAATATCCAATTTTGCATAAAGTTAATTGCCAAGTGACACGAAACATACAAGAAACAGCTTAGAAATCAACACAGGTGCATAGACATTTCGATAAGTATAATATGAATGCAATGACAAATCCTTTGTAGGATAATTCATCAGTTTCCCAAAATACACATGTATATAGTACAGTAAATATTTCTTCATCCCTGTATTGTGGAATCTTTGCAGCTTACTTAAGTGCATGTAAAAAGTGAAGATAACGGATGGTGTTTAAACAAAAAAAAAAAAAAAAAAAAAAAAAAAAAAAGAACAGACATCAATACAAATTTGTGAACAGAGTATAAAACATGGACTTCTGGAAACTTCAAAGGAAGGAAGAGCATGTCATCGAACAGTCACAGCAGCTGAGGTCTATGTTTTTATTTTAGGTAGGTGGAATATTACATGTCAAATCAAAACAAATGCCACATCTGTTTTATATTTAGTTGTTTCACTGTCTATTGATGAGGACAGCTAGCAAATTAATTTTATGACAAACGGGATTTCCGCTTTTCCATCTTCAGATTTCCTTATATATGTCTTAATATTCCACTATCACCTGGTTTTGGCCATTATGTCTCCCGATTTAGTTGCTACTCAGCAGATTATTCTGAATGTGTAAGATCAATTTTCAAAGCGCGCATTTTACTCACTGATTAATTGATGTTTAAGGGATTTCAACAACCTCATTTGAGGTCAACATTTCGTTATCCTCTTTGATCGTTATAACGACTCTGTAAGCAAATATCTGTATAACCTATCGTTTTTTGGCTGACGTGTTTCATACTAATTGATAGGCCTTTATTTCTATACTAAATTTCACTACGGAATGTTTCGTCTATCTGTTCAATACACAGGGCTTACGGCGGGTGTGACAGGTCAACAGAGATGCTTACTCCTCCTAGGCACATGATCCTACCGCTGGAAATTTCCAGGAGTCTTAACTCTATATTTATTCTTGTTTCATCAGTTTGTTTTAAGTATCCACATCTGATTACACCACTTCTCGATTATATTGTTGCAGAGTGCTCCCGATGTTTCTCCTTCACTACTGTTAATATTTCAGTGAGGAGTAAAAGGAAAAAAAGTTTGGTTTGAAACATTTACCGGAACCCACTATATATCTTCGTTTGTAAGGATTCTTATGAAGTTTTGGAAACCAATATAGATATGATGATTCAAATTCATGTTGGTTGTCCGGAACATTTATAATGCTAGTATTAAAAACTGACATATGACCTGATCCCATCTTTCTTGTTTTCGAGGTCCGTGTTTGCCCTGCTCCTATTTTGATCTTGAATACTGTTCGTTATCTCTACGTGTTTCATTTGAAGAATTTCTTCGTTAAAAAGGGAGCTATGGGTATAAGTTGGATAACCAGTACTAGAATTAAATCCCGGTACCTCTAAAATACAATTTAAATGATGAACCTTACAAACAAAGACAACGTTGTTACTTGCTTTATCAGCAGTGGTCTGTAAGTACTTATCATGTATTCTATCTAACCCTTTTCACTTCTGAATTAGTGAACACAGAAGAAGGATCGCTGCTTTTCATGTTGCGCCTCAATCGCTTAATGCCAGATTTTAACATACATCTGATAATTTAATCCATTCTTCCAAATAGTGACCTGTGTACTTACATGTACCATCATACATGTATATCTAGATACCATACTGGGTAATGATAATACGTATGTACTATATTCAAAGGAAAATAAAACGAATAAGAAAAATGCATTTTATTTTTTTTTTCAATTTAATTCCAAATACTGAGTAGAATTGTGTGCAAACTGTGTTCGGTTTCCGAAGTCTTTATTCCTTGACTTAATCTTAATGGAAAATATCAAAAATCGTAGAATGAAAAGGTAAAGAGACAGGTTTGTTAAACAAGTCTTAAAAACAAAGGTATTTCAACGGTGACAAACGTATGTAAATATTTACCTTTCAAAATTTATTCTTAGTACCTCGGCATATTCCGACTTTTTACGTCAAAATCACGGTTATAAGACCAAACTGATGAAGTTGTAAGATTAACTACGATTTTAATCTTTCTTTTAAATTTAATTTGATTCTTGTCAATAGAACGTGTTTCATGCTTTCTATAATGATTTTAACGCAACAGATTTACAAATGATTGGTTAATTGATATAATATTGTTTAACGTCGCTTTCGAGAACTTTAGAGAACGTCAACATATACAGGTGAAGGGCTTTAACTTTTGACCTTTATTCGGGATTCATGGCCATTTAGCATTGAGGTAGCTTTATCGAACCAACGCCTGCAGTGACATGGAACCCCGGTTTTTAAGGTCTCATCAAAAGGACCTACAACTTTCACTTCACTTCACCGAGTACTTGGCGAAGGAACAGTTCCTAGCTATTTTTATCGACTTCGGTCAGTCGTGTTGTTCAAACACAACCCCTTCTGATCACGGAGCGCTCTATCGTTTAACTAATGATGAATAATACTTAAAAATCATTTTGGTGTTGATTGAATTGATGATCAGTGACAGTTAATAAATAACAAAATAAAATCAAATTAATCTTGGTACGCTGATCAAATTTATCAAAGTTCTGATTACTTTCCTTGTGTTGGGAGGGAAGAAAATTAGAGAAATCTGATGTTTTTTAAAATCGCTTTTGTCAAAGTGTGACAAATGTCCCTTTTTCCTCGCAAATCTTATTAGCATGTTATATTTTCATATAAAGCTAATAGTTGTACAAAACAGTTTCCTCTTCGCAACAATACCCTGAGGTGTAAATCTACCTCATTTTTCGAAAAACCACCTCTACCTGATTGCATGCAACTTATCTTCTGCTTGTTATTTAAATTTTTTGTTAATGTATTTTGGATATTGTGAACTTGAACTTGATCAAAGGGCTAGTTTGCATGAATCAAGATTGTGAGACCTGTTAAGCCCCTTAACATAAGGTTGTATTCTTGAGTTTTAGTGTTGCTTGGTGTCGTACGCTCATCTGATGCCCTGTTGTCAGGCAACATTCTACACATTAATTTTAAGCATTACAAGACACGGAGGCATGATCTTTGAGTACGCAATACCTGATGACAATAAAATATTTAAGTACTGAAGCAGCTTTTTGCGTTATACTTTAATTTAAAGTTTTTAAGCGTCAGTACGCTTCTCTGAAGTTCACTTGTTTTCTTTCAAAATAGTCTTCAGGAAGCTACCATCTCTTTATTTAAAGTTACTTTTTAAAATTTCAAAGGTGGTCTTATCTTATTTTTTCTAAAGAAAAGATTGTATGAAGATAGTATTTTCCATGAGCACAGGAATTTTTCGTTAAGCCCTTTTAAACAGATTTGCTACAAATCAGCAACAGTGTATTTTCCGGCATGCTGTTTTCTGACGTAATAAATTGACGTCATTTCTGATCAAACCTGCTCTGCTCCCGATTTGTTTTGTATAAATGGACTTTGAATTTGAACTGTACGTTATTTTGACATTTCATTAGATAATACAAAGCTTAAGACGATGTAATATTTATAAATACTAGTGTGTAATACAATTTGCCCCTCAACGTCAAAAAAATCTATATAAAAAAATCTAAAGTATTTTCTTTGGTATTAAGATAAAATTTTGCATTAAAAATCAAATTGGAAAATAATTTTGAAAAAAAGATGAAACGTAATTTGTAAGGTCTGCTTTAATTTAAATTTATATATGATAAAAAAAAAAGGGGGAAAGAACACAGAGATCATTGAACAATTAACGCCTTCCTCAAATAAAATTGTCCAATTTGAAATACTTTGAATAAACGAATTGAAAGAAAGTCAAAAGTGAATTGTACCGCGTGTAAAAGTTACATCTATTTTCTTATGTAGGCAATTTGTTGTGTCCCTATAAACAAGATATTTTTGTATTATGTTTCAAATTTTATATCTTTACTTTTTATCTTTTATAATATTAAATTTATTCTTATAAAATTGCATAATTTATTTAAAATGATACCTCGATTGCCACATTATTAAAGTTAGTTATTTCTTAGTTCCTTAAAAAACATTTACATTTAAAACAGCCTAATCTTAAAAAAGTTGGAAATATTCTGTCGATGCTAGAGAGTGTAGACAATTTCTCAACATCCAGAGTTAAAAAAAAGTTTTTGACAGCCCAAAAGATCCAGTTTCACTTCTTGATAAGATAGAGCTGCAGATGTACACATTAATTGAAGGGCTTACCATAAAAGACCTTTGTTCTAATCTATCTATAAGGATTCAGATTAATTCAATGAATGAGTAAAATGAATGCTATAAATGAGGAAAATCTTTTTGTCAGTATATTCTGATATTAAATAGGATATCTTGTTGAAAATATCGGCATGCTTTGTTAAATGTTTTCGAGGCATTAGATAGTCACATGAATAATCGATTCATAACTTCTTTAATCACTGAGTTTGATGTTAAAAAATTAAAAACTTACACAGATTATTTCATTCTATTAGATATACTTGAGGTATCAACTCCCATTTCCCTTTCTAAAGTTATGAAATCATTTTTAAGCATATGGATATATAATCTTGTATATAATAAAAATGTTATCATTTTGCATAAGATTTGTGAAAGAATGATTGAACTTATCAATTAAAAAAAATACCCTGAGAATAAAACAGAAAAATAAATCGAATCTTATCCATCTAAATGTAAAACAAGCCACGTGGTGAAAGCCTAAAGCTCCAAGAATAACAGTAATGTATGCTTACCTTTATCAGTTTTTCGATCTGTCTCCACTGCAATTAGTTTTGAGTTGTAAACAGATGCCAAGATAGCTGTACTTATATCGTAACCTCATACAATATTGAAGACGTTAATTGAATTATAAGCAATGTGATTGGGAGGGCCAAATCACACATCACAGAATAATTATATAGTATTCCATTAGACAATTGTTTCCAATCCCAAATATGCCAGATGATTTTTCTCCATACTAACAATGACTTTCTAAGACAATGCCCTTTCAAATAAGTTTTCTTATATATCAATATGACAAAACTTTTTTTGCCAAGTTTTTATGCTAAGAGATTACTTGGGGTGACTTTTCCGAAATTATTAAATTAATTTACTCTTAAACAAAAATAAAAATCTCCATTCTCCGGTTTTTCGGATGGTATCAAATGACCTAGGACACCAATTAAAACAATATTGTAAAAAGTTGAAATCAAGTTATAAAAAACTAACTAAGTTCTCTTAAAAAAAAAGAAGAAATAATCCTCATATTAACTTATGGAATGAAATACAAACAACACGGAATCAGAGTATCTTTATCCCTTACCTATTGTCCTGTGTTTCCTTATCAAAGCGCAGATGACTCTGAAACTTTTTTCAAGGATGTTCCTTGGGATATTTTATTGGCATAATGACGTCATCTAGAGCAGATCATTATGCTAATGATTAGTCATAAATCAGCAAGAATCCATTTAAAAGTCTATGCCTTTCATTACGGAAAGAGCTAGTCTTTTAGATTTCAGATATTTCTTCTGATTTTAAATTGAAACAAAGTAGCATTAATTGTTCTACATATGTTGATCACAGAAAGATTGGAAGGAAAATTCGTTTATCTTAGTTATCTTCATATAATGTCAGCTTCGAGCAAGGAAAGAGAACACAATGCCACCACCAACGCTTGGGGACTGCGAATGACATGAAGTATATTGAGTAAACGAGAAAGGAAGAACAGAACAATTCTGATTAATAAGACAGGGGTCTGATTTGCAGTTTCCCTTGGACCGCAGGGAACCGTCATATTCCTGAGGATCTGAACCTTGTAATTATGTCTTCGTTAATTCTACATATTGTTTCGTCATTTGTTATTATCTTCGTATATCTTGGACTTCTTACGTATAAGTAGTTCTAATCAAAGTGGAGATCGATGATTTTCTTCAAGCAAATCTATGCTTTACTGGCTGAGAATACATTTCATTTCTTAAAAATATTAAATTAAAAAGATTATTCTTTACTTTATTATTTTCACATTTTGATTTAGTTAAAAATAGCAATATTTTTACACACTGCCATCAAAAATACATTGTCCTTAAAAAATTTTTTTCTTCACATTTTGATTTAGTTAAAGATAGCAATATTTTTTAAAATACGATTTTGAAATTTAATTCATACAATATATGTAACGTTTTACAGAAAAATTGCTTTGGTTACTATTTTGAGGAACAATAACTTTAAAATCTCATGTGCACTCTGGTGTTAAAAGTTTGACAAAAATCTTTTCAGGGTTAAAAAAGTGTTTAGAAATTTAGGATGGATAGGAATCAATAATTTACATTTCTTTGATAAAATAACCCCTTATATCAAGCCATTTTCCACTCCATATTTTTGAATTTTTCATCACGTTGTTTTAAGTCATATGTACATGGATTTAATCAAACTTTTTATTTTTCTTTTATCTGTTATTGATTATTGATATATTTTTTCCAGGGACGTATAGAGAAATTATAAAATGTTGAAAATGTAAAAGAAAAACCATTAGCTTTGAGTAGAATGTTATTTCAGTCGTGCATTTTATACCAGCATATTTTTCCAGTATATAGAATACAGTACTAATTCAAAATCAATAATACTCAATAATTTATAAAGGGTTAAGTTTTTTGAGTTATTGTATCCTTACATTGCAATTTATACTATTTTTACTTTCAATTGTCATTTCTTTTTTATGTGCTTGCGTATTACAACCTATGCAATGTTGAATGTTGTAAGTAATTTTGTCAAAAGACATTATAAACTACTTACATAAAGAATAGAAAACATTTACAAATAGATAGAAAATTCTTGATCACTAATTGATAAACATACAAGACTGCAGAAAAATAACATAACATATACATTTTTTTCGTACTTCACACACATTAACTCTAGTATCCTTTGAACAAACTCTCCTAGATTTTTAAGTTTTGGAAATAATAATAACATGTACGTTTTAATAAGGAAAACACTGCAAATAAAAAGGAATTAATAAATCATTCCTGATAATAAATGTGTAAAATAACATTATACAATTGTGATGCAAGACTTTGGTTGAAAAATCAACTACTAGTAATCATTGATATATCTGTGAAACCTAGCAAATTCTGGATAAAGCAACTGTTGACTTTATCAGTAGTTTAACTTGTATTTCCTTAAAAACTCGGGGGACGCTGTTTGGTAGATAATCACTGTAGTAAGAGTCTATTTTGACATTTAAGAGTACTTTAATTATCCTAAATCGGATTACCCAGTCTGTAGCAGACCTTGATTGAACTGGAATCGATCCCTAGCTTCAAAACATGTAACATAGCCACGAAAAATCCTCACTTGTCTCACTGTTCACACTTACTGGTCCATAACCTGTAACGGTATCTTTTTTTATAGTAATAAAACACTTATTTCTAAAGAAGATTTAAATTTTTCTCTATTTTCTTTTAATCTAAGATGAGTGTGTCTGAATTCACTCTTGTGAAAGTAGACATTCTATATATATATATATATATATATATATATATATATATATATATATATATATATATATATATATATATAGTATATATATATATTTCAAGATATATTTATGATGTTAAATTATATTAAACAGTAATGACTTCAAAATTTTATCTAATATAAAGTTTTTTTTTAAAGCCTGTTTGAAATTATATATTTCAAAAAGATAATACCAAGAAAAATATTCTTCACATATTGATTATGAAACAGACGAATGTACATTTTGAACACGATAGAAATATTATTTAAACGAGGGATTTATCACTGAAAGTTTCCGAATGACCATTCTCTCGACAATTACTGAGTTTCATAGGATTTTCATTTTCTTCGTTTCCCCTTGCTTCAAAAGACCATCCTATTGATGGCAATTAGGCACTCTGTTAAACATGGTGGGGTGAAGTGCCACGAGAAAATGGAAATTGAAAAGAATAAAATGTCCACAGATTTCTACAATTCAATTGATTTTCTGCTACTATTTGGTTGATGTTAGTGTTTTATGATCAACATTAAAGAAATAGACTTCCAAAGTCTTTTACTGGAGTAAATATGTGTATCTAAGTTTATTTGGTTTAAAAAATCTCATTATTTTCAATTAAAAATCGTTACAAGTGTTTGCTTGTGCATTAGAACTCGGAACAATATTACAGTAAAACAGATAAGAGAAAGGAATTGGTCGTAATATAATCAGGTGTCTAATTTCCTTAGCTTCGATAGCACCCTGAGGTATATATTGCTCACAGAAAAGATAGATACAGAGCTTCTTTATTGGATTTCAAACCAAACGAGTTGTAATTATAAAGTCAACTTTGTCTAAATGATCCTCTTTTTTAACACACTCGACTTGTGGGGGTGGGATTAGGATTCTAGTGTAGGCTCAATAGTCAGCATAAGGATATTTAGTTATACATTATCACATGAAAGAAAAATATGCCGATGAATGGATTCATCTATTGAAAATGAAATAAAGAAAAGTTTCACCTATGATTTGTCTAACATTCTAGATGCTTTTAGTGGTTTAAAAATTTGGTGAGAAACGTAAATGTTTCAGAAACAATTCCCTCCTTTTTAAGTAAGGTTTTCTAAATTCAGTATAAATTACATTTAGTAACGTGCTTTTTTCCTGAAAATATAGCCATTATTTAAAAAAAATTGAAAACTATTCTGAAAGTGTTGTTTTAAGAGCAGTAAGCACTGAGAAAAAAAAATGGATCCTGGCAAATGAGGAGAAAAAATACTTTGATATTGGCTTTGCTGTCACTTTGCCATTTTATGCATGTATCCAATTCATGAAACTTTTATTGAAACTACATTTTGTATATATACGATTCAAACCGTAAAAAATATGCAGTAGAATTTATACATAATTACACGTATTTACCGTAGAGGAAGTTCAAGTACCTAAAGGTATTTATAATAGCATTTTCACATTTTGGCACATTACCAATACATTAATGGCTCAATCTATAAAATAAATTTTTAATGTGTATATTATAACTTTTAAATAACTTATAAATTTCAGAATTGGGATCAGGTGCCTATGATGGGCTGGCATCTCCTGTTATACCCGCCGTGAACCATACATGTACATGTATATACATGAAAATAGAAAAGCTGATGTCATTTTGTTTGTCATATAAAGTTGTAATGAATTGGACCTATCGTCATTAGTCAAGTAAAACATCCATATATGAAACAGCTTTATAAGACTCTTTCGCGTCTTTTATTTCGAGTACAATGAGATATATCGGTAAGACACATCGATGGAAGTAACTATTGTTAATTTATAAAACGTGTACATGTAAATGTCGAACTAAAGGTCGGAGTGAAAGTTTTTTTCTTTCAAAATATGTAGAAGTTAAATCCTTCTCAGGTAGGCTTATAAAAGTGAAAGTTTGTTAGCCGTTCTAGAAAATTAGCCGAAGGGGAGCTGCAAATTTTATACCTTTACACGGCACTCCATTGAAAAGAGTGACGGTTCATTTTTTTGCCATTACTTACTGCGAGAAAGGACAGCTTATACGGTCTATACGGTCTCATCTAAAGGACTGTACAATTAAAACTTATGGTAATTGTCAATGGCTGTCAAAGATGATCTCCTGTATGGGCAGCGGAAAGGGCAAAAATTAACATAATTAAAAAACAAACAATTCTTTTAATTTCAATGACCATAAAAACTTAACAAATGATATACAATGCATAATAAACAGACCTTTTCGCAGAACAAATATACATTAAAGCAAAACCAACGACCACGTACGTAACAAACATATATAAATGCAAAACCAACGATCATTTTTGCAGTACAAACGTACACAAAAACACGACAAACGAAAAAAACTTAACAAACGTGATCGCGGTAAATCTAGTCTTCCAGACTCCCGGCTCCCGACGGTCCCGGATTTTTTTTCTCGGCGATTTGTTTTTTGCCTTCTCAGGCACATTTTCTTTTTAAATGAATTCAATGATATGTAAAAACTTATACAAATTTGCGTATTTATTACTGAGTCAGCAGTATCACCTTCCAAAAAGCGGTAAATCTAGTACTCCGTTATAAATATTAAAACCAAAAACGGACATTGATACAGAGAGACGTAAGGTGTTGGAGATAGAAGGTGCATGGACACAGATTTGAATTTAATATTTTCTGTATAATATAACGACTTTTATATTGTAATAGCATTTCACACAAAAATATATTAAAAATCTTATTTCATCTAAAAGTTATTTAATCTTCAAATTTTTAGACGGGTTTGATTGACACAATCTTGCACTCTCACAAATTTTAATTTTATTCTTAATGCTTAGGAAAAGTGGCAGTCTTGTTTCAATAACTTTAAGATGAAATAAAATTAACTTCAAATCTTTGTCCATGTATCTTTAAAGGTATTGAGAAGATATTTCTTCTCGAAAAGATGGAATTAAGGTGTTAATTAAAAAAAATGAACACTTAAATTCTATAA